CTCAGAACAAAATTTTGCTGTCAACATACGATCAGAGTAGAGAAACTTGCCTTCTTCGTCTCGACCAGTTTCACTGGTTCTCTGCCTCACTCTGTTAGCAGAAGCTACCCATAGTCCTGCTTGCTTACCAGACATGCCACGTAGCATGACTTTAGTCTGATGCTCTTGTCTCACTTTACGGAAAGGTGCCTCACAGTGGGGACATTTTAACTTAGAAACCCCAGAAAAGAAAGACGATAAAATCCGTCGCTTCACTTCAGTTAGATTCCGAGATTTCTCGTAGTTTAGGTGGGCATTGTCAATATTAGAACCTCCTCCTTCTCTTGCTGAAACAATGTAGCCTTGTATGAGTTCAATGAGGGACTGCTCTGCTTCTTCAGGTGATCCTGATATCTTAGAGTTGAATGATCCAAGTTCCAGTGCTTGTGATACAAGACCAAGGTCTAATAACTTCATTTGACCTAAAAAATTATTAATTTGGCTAAACAGTCAGGATTTCTAACAGAATTTGGTCATAAAGTTAAATTTCTTGTCAATGTATTTTTGAAGTTGCTCCAAAATTTGACAAATAGCCCAGGACTATAGTACAGGGTATTTTGTCAAAAAAAGGCTAGAAGAGTATTCCACATTTTATATTTTTCTTCTGATACATAAACATGTATAGGATGTAATGTTGTGTACAAAGTTTGAGCTGATTTAGATCAAAACTAGATTTTATATGAATTTTTAAAGTTGCTCAAAAATCAGGCGAAAGACCCTGGCATTGTGTACAGAGTCATTGGTCAAATTTTGTCAAAAATGACTAGGAGAGATTTCTATAACTTTTTCTGATGCATATACATATTCTTATGTTATGTAAGTAACTTTGAACTGATTACAATCAATATTGCCCTTTTTTATGAATTTTTAAAGTTACTCAAGGAGCCATAATGATAATAGCACTTGTCAGCTCATGAAACATGATTTTAACAACACTCTGCATGTTTTGAGGGAAACATGAATACCGTATATCGGGTATATTTCAATGCATTAATAATTTCGGAAAAAGCAATCCATTGCGAAAATAAATATTATGAAATTTTAAAATATGCGGATAAAAAGGAATAGAAGATATGGGTATTGTGCAATTAATATGAACACGTGGCTTCATAACTATCCATGGCTTCTAACTCGAAGGCCATGAAGAGCCTTCATTGCCAGTTAGAAGTGTTGCTAAGGTTGATTCAGAAGTGGACAAGTCTGCAAATGCTTCGATTGACTTACCAGGCCAGGTGGTTGATGGAAATAATAGCAAGTAAAATATTTTCGGAATATAAAAGGCTTCCGAATTATTCCATCATTGAATTTAATATTGCCACCACTTTTCATGCATTGAAATATACCCGATATACGGTATAGTGATTTTTTACAATAATTAATGTGAATTGTATGAAATTCAAGTTGGTAAATTGAGTATATGAATCAAAATACATGTACTTTATTTTAATCAAGTAGTGTTCATTCTCACCTTTAAAAATGGTGCACTTTATGGGCGTGGCACCCAATCGATGACAAGAGAGGCATGATGACTGAAGGATCTGATAAAAATCCATAAAGAAAATTGGATGAAATACAGGGAGAGGTAAAGTAATGTGACCAAAGTGACCAGGACAGTGTATATAGTTTAAGCCACACGTGAGACATAACTCGTGGGGTTCAGTAGGACCCAGTGCCTGATCATAAAGACCACCATTGTTTGGATGTAGGAGGCCATCAAACGTTGTTGGATTAGTGAGACGTTTCACGCTAAGCCTCTTTACTTCCTCAGAGCTCAGACTGAGGAAATTAACGGAGCTCATCCAGAAAGAAGGAGAGAAAGTTGGTGAAGATTCCATTGCTAAAGTAGCCACGTGGGGAAGGCACGGCCGTAAGGTGGAGCTACTTATGTAGAACCGGATGTTAAA